TTTACAGTGAAAAAAAAAAAAAAAAAAAAAAAGAGTCTCAATTTAGTGTGTATAGGCAGTGCCTCGACAATGATATTGTTCATACCAGAGAGAATCCTCATGTGGTCATCCCTCTGCTTTCTCTGATGTAGGCTCTGTTCTAACTCTGTGCTTCACATGGTTGCTCTGAACAGAAGTGGCAGGTGGGAAAATGAACACATAGTTTGTCAAAGGGTATCTGGTCTGGGAGCGAGTAGACCATGTTCTTTTTACACCAGCAAGATATGATTATTCACAGCATGGTGGTTCTGAGGTTAATAAGGATGGCAGTAGAAAGCTAGACTCTAATCTGAGGTTTTTTGATTGACTCTTAATGATATCTCATGCACTGGTCAGCAGCATCCAATAAATGGCAGGCACTTCTGACCTTCCTTCCCTTTCTTGTTAAGTAATTTCATTCATATAAAAGCAATAAGACCAGACAGGCAGTGAATTTCCTGGGTGATAATTGCATTTCTTCAGTGGCTCAGATCTTCCCCCTGCAGCATCCAGCCTCCCAGCATACAAGCCATGTAACTGACTCCATTTTGCAGTCTTTTGGCACCTGGGCACCTTGACTACTTCTAGGGTAAGAAGGGCACAATATTATGTTGGTGTAATGATGCTGGATTTAAACACAGAGGAAGAGACAAGTAGATACGTCTGATTTGACATACTGGCCTGCTGCCACATTAACATTTTCACTTTAACATGCTTTAAAATCTCCCTCAATAGCCTCTCCCTCGACTATCTGCGAAGTAGCAGTAATTAAGGGGATTACTTATTAACTTTTGCAACTTGTAAATGAGGACTCCATTGCTATCATAGTTGTCTCAGCACAATTTGATAGCGAGTGAGCTGACAGAGCCCCTTTTCCCTCTAAATGAGCATCCTAAAACCACCCTTAAGGCTTTGAGGCTTTATTAGAATACAGATTGAAACAAATTGCAGTAGAGAAAAACCAGACCTGGAAGAGGCAGAATAAAGGGCTTGAAATCAACCTTCCTCCATGAGGACCCTGTTCTTCAGGCCTGCTGTTGTCCAGCAGTTCTTCAGTGGCTTCTTGGGCTGCAAGAAAATTTTGAAGGTCCCCAGAGCGTCCCTAGGAAAAGCTTTTTTTCCCCTTCAGTGCCTTGAGATGTGGGTTTATGTCTGCAGGAGCCTGAGGCCCCGCGCTGGCGGTGTCCCTTCCCACGCACGCTGTGCAGGAGGTTGTGCCCTCCCAGCGAGCTCCCATGCTCAGAGAAGGAGCAGTGTCACCCTCCTCCCTCACCCAGGGTGTAGCAGCGTGAGAAGGCAAAGGGGCAGCCACCCTCTGTTAACGGAAAAAGGCTGCTGTGAGCGCAGCAAAACAGGTCTCTTCCATCACACACGTACTGTGACAATCAGTCCTGATCAAGAGCCATCTACATATATTCTTTATGTCTTTAAATATTTTCCCTTGGCCCAATATTAATGTAATAAAATATATTCTGGCACACCGAGATTACAAGAGACCAATTTTTTTACCTCACCTTCTACATATGGATTTTTTTTCTTTGAGGGCCATTTTACTGTGAATGACTTGAGGCAAGTCAAATCATCACTTAAAATAGAAGAAAGGTTTTATAAAAAAAAGCCCTACACCCCTGTAAAAATTATGAATGATTGTGCCTGCTTAAGTTTATTTTTTAAACTGAAAAAAACCCTCTAAAATAATAAATGGCCCTCACCTGAAGCCTCTAATTACAGCCAGTAGCATTTACCACACCACTAAATTGCAGAGCAGTTAAGCTTCACACAAAACTGAAATACCAGAGTGTGATCCTTTGTTATGTAGGCCTGAAGCATATGTTACCCTCATGATTTCTTTTCTCCTCTCATATTTTTGGATACTGGTCGCATGGTTGGATTTTTTCAGTAGCATTTATTTACAAAAAGTAATTAGACTTGTTGCTATCAATAGCCTCTACCAGAGCTCTTAAGAAGAAGCTGCATGGCAAACTGACATTGCGTCCTTGTTAAATCAACTCCTGCTGAGTGGGTGTGATTTACGTCTTGGTTACTTCACTTTCTTGATTGCCCTTTTGCAGTGAAATAGTGGGTAGGAGCAGTGGGGAGCAGGGGTGTGAAAGAAGGGAATGTTGTGTCCTGGGAGAGCCCCCCTGTTTTGCCCTTGAGCAGCGTGTCCCAGCCTGCAGCAGGACAAAGGGCTCCTCGCCAGTGCTTGGGGCAGAAGGTGGCTGTGGGTCAGATTTTGTGTCCCATCGCTGGGGTTCCTGGGGCCGCTGTTAACATTTTCCTTTTCCTTGCTTCCCCAGCTTGTCCGCTACAGCTCGGAAGGCGTCCTGCAGCTGGGGCCGCTGGGCTCCACGGCCTTTCTGCCGGACTCCAAATGCCTCGTGGACGATGGGAAGGGCAGGACACCGACTCTGAAGAAGTGTGAAGATGTGCTGAGGCCAGCGCAGAGGTTCTGGGATTTCACACAGGTGTGGAAGAGCTCAGGAAGCCCTGCAGAGATAATTTGGAGAGGAATTCTGCTCTGGAGGATATTTAATGAAAAACAAGGAGGTCTCTAGCGGACTATTCTAGGAATCCCCCCTTATTCCTTCTAGAAAGAGTCAGTTATGTTTTCCATAGGTCATGTGCTATTCTGGAATTTTCTTATTTTATTACTAGGAATTTTGGGGTATGTTTTCTAGGAATTTTTAGTTACCCTTTCTTGGAATATTCGCAAATTTGGTAGTGATTGTCAAGAACATGCTTGTAACTTTTTTTTTGAGTGTCTAGGAACTTTTGTTTCTTCTATAATTTTTCTGGGATTTTTCTAGCAGCTTTCTAGGAATTTTTACACCTAGAGCTTTCAAATAAATTTTAGGACTTCAGAAGGCATTCTTACATTTTCTGGGGCTTCCTCTATCTTGGGATCTGTAGGGATTCTCTAGTGCTTTTTAGAGATTTTTCTAGTGATTTCTGGGGAATCTTTTAGCAATCCCTAGATCTAGAATTATCAAGGAATTGTTTCAGCACTTTGTATGGGTTATCCAGCTTCTCCTAGGAATTTCTAGCACTTTCTGGGGACTTTTATTACTTGATATATACAGAATGTTCCGGGTATTTTGTAGTGCTTTCTAGGGATTTACGGATCTAGCACTATTTTTCTTACAGTCTTTTCACTTTTTCTATACTTTCTTCTAATCCTTTTCTTTTTTCTTAGAATGGCCCAATCATCAGCAGAGACACTGGCCGTTGTCTAGAAGTGGAAATGTCAAAGGATGCAAATTTTGGGCTCAGATTAGTGGTACAAAGGTGCTCGGGGCAAAAATGGATGATTAGAAACTGGATAAAACATGGCCGACATTGACTGCTGGGGCTGAGAAGCTGCCTCTCCTGCCGTTGTCCATCGCTCAGTGTGCCGTATCTTGCAAGGCAGTTGTCTTAAAGCAAATTAGTTTGAACAGGACTTGGCTCTCAAGAGTCCTCTGTAGTTGGGCATTCAAAGGAAAAAAGAAGAAAGAAAAGCAGACAGATACATGCCGTGTTTGACTCTTCCTTGCTCTGGTAGATGACCTGGGAAGCTTAACAAGAGTTTTCTGTTGGTTTGGGAATCTTGTGAAGATCAGAACACAACAGAAAAGTGCGTTCCATAAGCTCTCCTAGTGGAATTAATAGACAGACATTTCTATGATGAGTTCAAAGGAGAGATTCCAATACTGCCTCATAAAGAGAGTTCTCTGATGGGTAGCTTTTTAGCTTTAAGTTATTGACTGGTGCACAACTCCTATGGTGAATAATCATGTGCCTTTTTTATTGTACTTCGTATAAAAGGGGACTGGAAAATCCTACCTTTTCGGCATGTCTGGTTCATTGTACTAAACAAGAAGATCTGTAAATAACACTGGAAATATAATATATGATAAATTTCAAGGTTGATTGTTTAGGAGTCTCTATTTCTAGAAAGAGACTGTTCCACAAATGTTTACAGGTGGTTCTCAACCTTCAAGCTGCTAAAAAGCAGCATTTTAGAGACCTCTTCTAGTTAGACACAGGTAAATGTTGAATAGGTAAAATAGCCACATGCTCCATTATCTTGCCACATTTTACATTTCTTGGCTGTGAAGGCATCACAGTATAGCACTTGCATATTTAACTCTTCCGAGGCAGTAAATGTCCTAGTAGATGGATGAATTTCTAGAGGCCTCAGCTGGCCCACAAGCCCTGAGTACGTAAGTGCAAGGTTCCCATCCCGTGGTGCTGCAGGCACACTGTTGCGTTGTTCCAGAAACTGCCTAGAAGCTGGATGCTCGTTACTTCTGAAAATAAGTTGACTGACTTAGGAGCCATCTGTGGAATTTAACAGCTTGAATCTTCCATTTTGTTACTCATCCTGTGAAAATGTCAAATGTGAGCAAATACACTTTGTGAGCACTGTCTAGACAAATTTCCTGAACAAACCGACAAAGTCTTTTTGGTATTTGAAAAACAAACAAAAGTGATAAGAGGGCAAATTAGAGCAAGAAATAGGCAGCATATATAAATACTGTTACTCTGAAATATATATATTTTACTCTAGTTGACCCATTGACAGCATCTTTGTGAACCTGAATTTTCGGAGGTATCCGGTGGTTCATGCAGTATCTGTGCACTGGTGGCCAGAGCAATGACAAAAGGCTCTCAAAGCTGATGGCCACTGTCAATGTTGGCAGCCCTTGGATGTGGGTCCATGGCAGACAGCTTTTCGTTACAGAAGACTCAGTCCTACTGAAGGACAAGCAGAGATGGTATCTGTTAACTTCACTGTTTAATATTTTATAGCAATTTAAAAAAAAAAAAAAAAGTTCTGTTTTACTGAGCCAGGAAAATAGGTAATTGCAGACACTGCGATACCATGAATCTTGGTGATCTGTTTCTTGAAGAGCTTTTGCCATTCCTATTTCAAGGCATGCTAAAGAAAATAGAATGAAAACAAAGTTAATTTTTCAAGGGCATGATATATAATAAAATATTTTTCTTTTAACATGCAAAATCCATCTGTTCTTGTCAACTCTTGGTTGGTATCTAGAGAGCATATCACTATATTTTGTCCCAGTTTTATTTTTGAAACAGTGTGTGTAAGATGTAATAAAGAGCCAATTCTCCTGGAGTTTATTTGTGACTAATTGCTGATCTTTATTTATGTCACATGGATCAGGTTATGTGTGAATATATACAAAAGAATAATTTTGGGTGAGATTCTAAATACTAAAATGCTTAAAATTCCAAGTTTATGGTTAGTTGAACACAACCTCTTGAACAGTGTAATAAGACCTGCAGGGAGAGGTAGCATCTTCAATAAATCAAGAAATAAAGTTAAAAATCATGGGCAAGCTCACTATTCAAGCCTTTCTTGCAGGTCTTAAACAGGTAGGAAGCTTCAGGCCAAACACGGATTGGGAGCAGTTGCCCTGCACTTGACCTCCTTTACTTAACCTATTAAACAATTTAAAAGGATAGTTACCATCCACGGAGCAGGTGTTGAATGCTTTGTACGGGAGTTCTATTTGCAAGTGACTTTTCATTTTCTCTCCAGATACAATTTCTCTCTTTTAAATTGTATGAAAGCTAGATTCTTCTTTTGTTTACTCGGGTGGCATTTTGCTTCTTGAAATACTTGCTTAAGGGAGGTGAGAAGGCAAAGGAAGGTAAAAGATGTTTTTACCTTTCACCTGCCCATTTTGGGCAGTAATGACACAGGTCATTCACACCATTAGTAGTCAATCCTATGAGTAAGTGCTGACTATTTTACATGAAGATGGCTGGAAGTTGAAAGTAATTATATATCAGTGTGACTACTAAATGCCTAGCTATTAAAGTTACTGTACTGAACAGAAGTAAATATGCCACATGTTGGGTTTGGGGTTTTTTCCTCCTTTGTCTTGAATTGCCAATCTACGCTTGATTCTTCCTTAGCAATGGGGCAGCAAGCCTTTCATATCCTGGATAAATGAAAAAGGAAGGCTGAATATTTGGAGGAATACCAGGTTTTAAATTTACTAACCTAAAAGGAGCGTGTGGCATTTGTAGTTTAGGAGCTTTGAAGCTGAGAAGAACAGATAGATCTGTGTTTACTGGCAAAGACTTCAAGCAAGCATGACAACCCTTCACTATGACACCACCATAATGAATGTGAATTGCTTGTCTTGGAATTTTGCTGTTGCATGTTTTCAGTGCCCACTGCACAGCAGCAGGATGTGGCCACAGCATCTAACTGAGAGTGGTCAGACCTGGCAAGCTCTGAGGGCAGAGGCCACAGGCCGCAGAGAACTTGCAAAAACCAGACTTTCAGTGCAAGAAGGAAAGCAGAATTTTGTGATAAATAAATGGCTCTGAGATTACAGAGTAATACAAAAGAAATCAAATAACTCTTAAAGGTGGAGTTGGTATTTTCTGTGATTGTCATTTTTTTAAGATTTACTGAAACAATTTCTTACACTTGAAAAAGGCATCTGTTGGTTTATTTTTAATTTAGTCTTTATCTGTATAAGCCACTGCTTTGGCTGTGGTATTAACATGGTGACTCTGCATGTGAGAGGGTCTTAAATATTCTCTCATAAAAGGAATAATAATAAAAGAAGCCTCGAGTATTATCTGTTTTAACCAAAGTCTGTGGGTCTTTTGTCAGTATTTCATCCCTTAGCATAATCTGAAGTCCTGCTTAACGTTGTTTCAAATTTTCAATCTTGTTTCCCACAGTGCAGCAGTCTAGATACTATGAAAAGTATTTAATATGCCTTATAGAGAAAATTCAGATCAAAATCTTCAGTTGCTATTTCTTTTGTTTAGGAGATTATGGTGTTAAAGACTAGGTCCTAGGACAGAATAGAAGTTGAGAAAGAACATGAAGTCTAGTACACTGCTGTCAAAGGCAAACCAGTTAAAAAAAATACTCTCGTAAGCATGTCAAAATCCCTAAAAATTAGTTTGAGTCTTGTGACAAAAAAAATCCCTTTCTCCTTTGAGAGCTATAAACTATTTTGCCAGCTGAATTTATTCTTGGCTTGATTAAAGCCATTGGTTCCTAAGCCAAAATAGTCCTCTAATTTTACTAGTTCGCTGGCTCCCGAGGCATGCTAACCTCCAGTGGGAAGCAACTAAGAGAATGAAGAGCTAAAAAAGGTGGTGTTGAAGGACCCAGTGAATTCCCCTGCAGTAACATAAAGGTATATATTGTGTGCATCCATGAGGCATCAGAACTCTTCAAGACTGTTGGACATTCAAAAAGCCAAACTCTGGTTCCAGAGAAGTGATCTAAGACATAAATATAGAACGCAAACAGGTCTTCATACGTATTCTGAAAGTGTTAAACTGTCTATCTCATTTCAATGAATAACGTGGGGCTTGGTGAGTCTGAAGATCAGGCCCTTTTCAGTGTATTAAAACCTCACTTTCTGTGTGACAAGGGGTGTAATCCATCTGACACAGGACAGCTGCAATTTTAAGTACTTAAGCCAGAGCTAATAAGATTTAATGAAATAGCACCAGTCCTAAACTGTTCTTTAGATCAATTACACAGCATGTAATTCCTTCGGTATCCAGTATTCATTTGAAATGGTTCATTAACAGCCATACTAAAGCACATTATGGCCTGTTTTGGGACCCAATGAGTTGGGTTGTAAGAACTTTAATAGAAGTTGGAGTTCAGAGAGAGTTTGGCATATTATTATTCAGTTAGGACACAAATACCTTTGTTTTTTTTTGTGAAAGGCTTTGAGAGGAAGAACAGCTGTCAGAATTTGCGTAATTGAAAATGTTTCTAGCTATGATGTTCTATTTTTGACTGCTGCTGTTTTGACTGCCTGCTTCTTACTGCTAATCAAAGTCGATCATGAGGTCATGCCACAGATAAAAGGTGGTGTTACAAATTAGAAGAACTAGTTAACAAGCTGGATAGAAACCAAGGAATGATCACTTCTTCACATGTCTCTAGATCTGGATGCCACCAAAGTAAATTTAATACTATATTCTCTCTGGAAAGAATCCCAAACTTAACACATTTTTGTACTGCTTCATCAGGAATACCTATTGAAGAGACCACTCTAGTGTGTACCTCTAAATCGTATTTTGCAGATACATTTTTGTGTGTGCGTGTGACATTAGTGGACTTAAGGGAGCTGTAATTACTGAATACATGGAAAATACATTAATTGGCACCATGGTCTATGTAGTATGTGCATCACGCTTTTCTAGCTTCCTGTGTGGCAACAAGGATGTTCTTGAAATACCAATGTGCTGAGTGCATTCTCCTAGGTAGGGAGTCTGCTTGCCAAGTGAACTAAGGGAATGCAAGGAGTAAATACTGAAATTACATAGTTAATAATTCTCAGTGAATTTGGCACAAAGTGCATCAATATTTACATCTTCTAAAAAAGATGTAATGAATGAGCTTCGGGTTCTCTCTTCACAATCTCCCTATTTTACTCTGATAACTGTTGAAAATACCTTGTCCCTCTAAAGATCTGGGATGCTTATGCCGTGTGAAGACTTCAGCTATGTCTTTACAATGCCCCAGCCATCAACAGCATTAGAGAGAGAGATACACTGGCCTCTTTAGTACATCATGATGGATTTTGGAATGGTTTCACAAAATACATTGGCTTATGTTATGAAAGGGTTAATGATATGTAACTAAAGGTGTTGAGTTCATGGATTGCCCTAGGTAAAAAACGATGTTTTCTCTGGCCCAGAATACTTACTTATAAAAAGCGAAGCAACCAGTATGACATAAATACCCCAGTGAAGCCACAGTACGGCAACCTGATTTTGAAGAACAGAATTTCTGAATTGAGAGCATTCTTCAAAGACATATGGAAGCACTTGCTACTTTTCATAGGGTTACAGTTTTCTATTGGCCATTAGCAAGTATTGCGCCGTTTTCAGTCATTGGAATAAGTTTAATTTTAAAAATAGTGCAGCAACTAGAATGCAAGTTCTGACTGCAAATAGTTTTTATTATGTGGCTCATCATCAAATAATTTTGTACTTACACTTGAGAAATTAATAAATTACTATTCATTTTACTGCTGACATGGACTGCATTTTTTATCATTGTACATTTGGACACCATGTATTAAAGTTGTCGCACAAAGGAAAACTAGAAAAGCAAAGTATATGTGCATTTTAAAATTTAAATTGCACATAGACTGTTCTGAAAGGTTGTCAGCCCGTTTTTGAGCTGAGCACAGCACACTTTGCAGCAGACTGCAAGCTGTTCTGTAGTGGATGAGCTCTGTGCATATCAGAGGGTGTGTGCACATCCAGAACTAGACTGATCACAGTACAGACTGCGATCACATTGTGATGGTCAGAGCTGAGGGGAGGCTTGTCTTGCCATCCTGATACAAAGACGTGCTTGTGTAATGTTTGCAGGTACCAGTCCACGGAGCAATACAAGCTCTGTTCTTGCACGGTCCCATGGGACTAGTAAGTTCTTCACAAGAAGCATTCAAACATAGATTAAAAAAATCCCTGTAAAAAGATTCTGACCTTGTAATCACCATTCCTGGAATCATTGAACTGTGGGGAAAAATATGCTATCGAACCACAGCCAGGAAGCTGCTGATGAAAGTGTTCTCTTTCTAGGAGTTCTGCATTGGAGCTATGTTTTAGCAATTCAAGTGTGTAAGAGCACAATTGATCTGTCATTGACATGTTACTCTTCTAAAGAACACAACCAAAGAAACAACAACTTATTCTGCCCAAATGGCCTACTAAATTCTGGTATAAAGGGGGCTTTTTTGTTTCCTTTTACCTCAACATTACAAGACTGAAGGATATCCCACACCCTGTGACCTGACCTATATCAAAAGAGAGGCCAGATTTGCAGATGATATAAAATGTCACTGCTCTGCCAAGGAAGTTGTGGGAACTATAGTAAATTTTACCATCTATAGACCTGGTCTGTTGCAACTGATGATAGTGCTATTGACTTGATTTTTTTTTTCTGCTTCCAAAGCCACTTTTATCTGCCCAAAGGCAATAGAAAGGGGATATGAAGTGCTTATGAACTCCCTTCTATACTGTCACACTTCTACCAGAAATCTACACAGCCCAGCACCTCATCATTGAAAATGGTCAATAATTGATGTTTAGAAGAATGAAATAGGAGACAGAGAAAACATAGAATGATGCTTTCGTCCTATTTCTCCCCCTAATTTCAAAAGGTAAGGATTTCCCAAGCAGAGGCTATACACACCGTCCCAACCATTAGATTTAATAACTACTGTGGGCCTGTATGTATCTAAGCCACTTCTATCTCTGGATGTCAAAACATCCTCTTGTAAAAAATAGCACAATTGCTGTGAGTCAGTATCTCTGCTTTTCATTCCATAGGATGCCCTGTAGTTCTCCTATGGTGAAAAACTGTGAATAACTGCTGCCAACTCTTTTTTAACACCCTTCTTCGTTTGACCTATGTCATCCTCTTTTAAAATATATTTCAGAACTGATTGAGTGTCATGCTTTTTTTGGTATTGCTAGCAAACAACTTTGTAAAAGCGCAAGCAGATGCTCTGTGTCATGTATTGGGTTGGGTGATAGCACGGTGACAACTGATTGGGTTCTGGAACTGCTCAGCAGTATGAAACATACATTACTGGTTTTAACATTGGTTTGGGATCTCAGCCAGACTGTTTCTCCTCTGTTAGTGTGTAGGCACAAAGTTTGCAATTTGTGATCAAAGAGCACAGAGCATCTGAGAGAGGATCCAACACCTTCTTTAATTCTGCTAGAAGGATCTCCCTGCCCTGCTCCTCCTGCCACCCATGGGTTACAGCTGTGTGACCAGACTGGGACATGCTTCTGTGTTCCTGACTCTCTTGCATACCTCTGGTTCAGTTGAATTAACTGGGTGAGACCTGAGCGCACAAGCTTTCTCCTTCTCAAGTTCTACAAGGACGGTGACTGCCTAAGTCAAAGAGCAGCTGTTAAGTGATGCCCTGATTTACCCAGAAGAAGTAGTGTTGGCTGTAGTCTTCAGGTGGGCAACAACGAAACCAGCCTCAGAAGGAACAGCCTGACGCAGCCTTGGCAAATTTAGCTTTGTCTCCAGGATTAGTGTTTTCTAGGGTGAGGCATTTGTTTGTAAAGCCACACTGAGGATCTGTTTAGAAACGCTGCTCTGTTGCTAGCCAAGGTATCCTGTGGACTTAATCACCTATTATAATCAAGCCATCATTTCTTGGAAGGAGAAATGTCACCTTTAAATCTACCATATGCTTGCTAGAGTGAACATTCTGTGAATAATATCCAGGAAAATTAGGTGCATATAAATACTTTGTCAGCAGTTCTGCATCTGACAACATTTATACTGCAGAAGTTATCCTAAGTCTCAGATTTTTCACTAAGAGCATATATTATGAACGTAGCCACCGCTCCTCTTTTTCTGATCAATAAATCTTCATGACACATGGATATGTGTCTGTAACTGAAAACTATGCAGCAGTGATAATGATTTTTCGGGCTATACATTGCTTGGTCGTTTGGTTGCTTTGGTGTGGTGTGGCTATCTGTTGTTACTGCTATGTAGTTGAGCACCTGTACTAGTTAGACCTGCCTTTGCATCCTGGCTGGTTATCTGGAATTTAAAACGAGAAAATAAG